CCCCAACATTCTGTGATTCTGTGAAAGCAGCCTGTGCTGGATGTGGCACAACACCAAGGCTGGTCATGAGTGTGCACAAGAGCCTGGTCACTAACTTTTTCATATATTTTTATGAAGGTACATTCAGCACAAGACTGAAATCTGGGCTCTCGAGCATGCTCAGGCTCCTGAGGAAAGGCTGAAATTCTTGGCGATGAGTACTTACTGCTGCAGTATTGTCCTGGGGAAAACTGAAAGCCAGGAACCAGGACAGAAAAAAAAGCAGCTGATTTCTACTAGTTGGAAGGTTTCCTTAGAATTAAAAAGCCAAGTGTCTGTTCTGATGGTCAGGATGAGAACAGTAACGACCACACTGGCACAGGGTTCGCAGGAACGGTGTTCTGCAGACGTGAAATTCAATTCACACCCAAGCACGTGTTTTCTTGTGCTCTGCTCAGAAAACATCTCTGCAACACTGCAGCCCATTTCAATTTTTCAAAGTTCCTTTGACAACCACGAGGTACCACAGCACATTTCTGTGCTGACAAGTGAACTGGGCAAGTTCTGCAGCTGCAGGACTGCGCAGGACATGGTCACACTGGATCTTTTACTCAGTGCTAGCCAGCTCCCGAGGGATCCAGCTGCGATGGACCATGGTTTGGTGCAGTGGAACCACTGCAGAGCCACACCACCTTAACACAGACCTGATCAATGGCTGTAAATACCTGAAGTGTGGGGGCCAAATGGATGGGGCTGGGCTCTTTTCAGTGGTGCCCGGTGACAGGACAAGGGGCAATGGGCACAAACTGGAACACCAGAAGTTCCAGACAAACTGAAGGAAAAACTTCTTTCCTGTGAGGGCGCCGGAGCCCTGGGACAGGCTGCCCAGAGAGGGTGTGGAGTCTCCATCTCTGGAGATGTTCAAACCCACCTGGACACTTTCCTGTGCAGCCTGGGGTAGGTGTGCAACCTGCTCTGGGTGACCCTGCTCTGGCAGAGGGGTTGGACTGGATGATCTCCTGAGGTCCTTTCCAACCCCACCACCCTGTGATCTCTTCTCCCACACTGCAGTACACTGTCTGCTCAGCTGTGTGGGGACACTTCTTTTTGGGCCATGCTTTGAAATGGAGGAATAATTAATCCAAATAATGAATGTCCAAAGCAAGTGGTTTTAAGGGCAGAGCAGCTGAAAGAGCTGGGGAAGGAGCAGTTGCGGACAGGAACACTGCAGCACTGGCTCCACTTGCTTTCTACTGCAAAAATCAGTGTATTGCTCCTACCAGGCAGCAGGCAATGGCTGCAGTTTTTCCCTACCACGTTGAACAGGAAGCAGAGGTTATAAAAGATACCACAGTAATGCTGCTATGGATTTGAAATGTCCAAATCTCTCTGTTCCATCCTTGCTCAAGTTAGTGTTTGATAACAGCATTGGGGAAGAAAAACCACCACGTACTACTGTACGAAACCTGGTAAGAATCAAGCTGTTCTGAAAGCTGATCAAACAAAGCTTGCCCCAGCAACTCCAACAGGTAAAAAAAAAAGGATGCTGCAGGATCAGGACTTTTGTGATCAGGACTTTTGTGTTACTCAACACATTAACCCATGAGTAGCCTCCTGACCAGTAGTTACAAAGCAGCTCTTTCAGACCTTGTATCCAACGGTGGAGATTTCTGGCAAATAATTTCTACACGTAGGAAAAGAGCACAGAGAAAGCACCAGAAGTTTTTTAGTCTCGTAATGCCGTTATTTTATACTCACCATAGAGAGCAGCCCAGGAGCAGAGTGTTTCAGCTTGAAGTTCTCATCTGCAAAAGGACCCCTATAAATACTGGCTACTCCGGTGCCGTCTCCCTGCGCAAAGAGAGGTTCCCAGTCAGCCACAGCGTTTGTTCTGTAGCAAATGCCAAATTTTAAATCCCCAAGCCAAAGGAGAGCCCAAAGCAGATGCTGTTCTGCCATTTAGACACAGCAGCAGCGGGCACTGCCAACGTTTCACTGCTGAAGAGGAACAGCATCCATTTTCTAACTACACAGATCGTCGTTTGCCATGCGTACGTTGGCACAACGCCATCGAGATGGGAAGGATTAAGTCCAAGCCTCCCAGAGGGAGATGGAAGCTGGAGACTGCCTGGTACGGACCCACTGGGACCTGGCAGGGGAAAGGGAGGGGACGTAGAAGTGTGGGCTGGTGGGACAAGGAAAGCAGAAGAAGTCTTGTGTGGAAGAAGTCATTTGATGGTGCACTTCTTCCACGTGCTTTCTGTGACTCTCCTGGGAGCAGGGACGTGATCTCGCTCTTCAGCAAGGACAGCTGCTAAAATGGGGAGTTTCTCATTTTTGCTGTACTTCCTACCAAGTCGAGACATCTCGTCCTCCACTCCCAGCCCTTGCGCTCACATCTCACGACGCTTACACATGAAAGCAGCGTGGTCCCTAACGCTGCAGATGGCAAGCTTTGACTGCTCCCAGGTTTCTAACTCTGCAGACACCTGACGTGTGTTTCATATCAGACACGTAACGTGTGTGACCGCTGAAAGGTCACACCCTGCCCTTGGGCCCAGCACTGCAGAGATGGTGATGCCAAGGTGATGCCTGGGTGATGCCAAGAGGAGCGAGCAGGGACCCTGCAACAGAACAGCCTCACGTGTGCTGCGGGGAGGAAATCTTCAGGGAAAGCTGCAGGAGCCACACAAATGGGTGCCTGTGGAGCAGCCAGTGCAGTTTACTTTCCTGGCAGTCATTTCCCTTTCGGTGTTGATTTCTGTGTTCATTTTCCCTTCTTCTCTCACACCTGCCCCGTTTCTTTTGCCTTCCTGCAACCCAGCTCCCTTCGTTGCCTTTCTACTTAACAGAG